TTCCTTGGTCTCTCTGCTAAATCGGGTAACTCATCCTGAAAATTAGGTTCGGATCCAAATCGTTTTCCATCGAATTCCGAACAAGCAGTATGATAGCTTTCGCTTGAAGATTTTGCTATGGTTAGGTACTCGGTCTCTTCTCCAAAATAGACTGAGAAACACCTGCAAGAAAACACCATTGCAATGCTAGCTCCTTCAGTTATCTGGTTTCACAGCATTAGGGCTGGTTCGTTTATGTTGAGTACTTGAGTAGGCGTGAATCACAACGTGTGTAGCCCAAAATTGTTATTGGTGTTCACACATCGGAGGTAACGCTTAACTTTTAGGATAAGGTTACTACTTAGAAAGGTGTACTTTCATCCGTGCAAGCTTCCGCTATCGTCGGAAAGGAGTCTCGATTTTATCGAATTATATAAATTTCTAAGAGCAAAATAAGATACAGCTAACTTTTTTTTTTTTTTTCCTTTTGTTATGTTTGGCAAAGATATTTAAAAGCAGCTTATGAAATTTTGTTAAATTCATTCAATTAAATATTCTATTTATTTATTAGTTTTTTAGTTGCAAAGAATAATTGTGCTTGAATTTATATATAAATTTAGGATGGTGCTAAAAACCCTGTAATGATAGGATATGTATTTATAGGTGTGTAAGGATCAAATTGGGGCGGAGATGGGGCGGGGTTGACCGTCCATGTCCACCTAATACTCATCCTAGACGGATGTAGAAAATCGAATTCTCTCCCCTTTAGATTTTAGGCTATTTCCCGGATCATTCCTAATATATCAACAAAATAAACTCAACTTACGAAAAAAAAAAATCAAGGTTAATAAGCTATCAAAAGTAGAAGTTATAATTAGATTGTGTTTACATCGATCATAAAGTTTAACAAACTTCAAAATAAGAAGTGACATGTTTGTATAAAAACCATCGAAGGAAGTGATGATTGACAAACTCATGGAATTGGCAACGTAATTTAGTATATGTTCTTACTTAGTAGATTTAATTCAAATTCAATATATATATATATATATATATATATATATATATATATATATATATATATATATATATATATATATATATATATATATATTGAAAAATTTAATGTGGATCTCACGATACCTATTTCTACAGGGTATTAATTATCGTTCCTGATTAAGGTTGGTCTCTAAATTTAACATATATAGTAGTTTATATCAAAGAATCATCATCATTGACATCATGAGAACCAAATTAACAAAAAAAAATCAAACAAGAATAACAAAATCTTATCCATTTTTGCTTATGAAACATTATCCATTTAATTTTTTTGTTGTTGATAATATATATATATATATATATATATATATATATATATATATATATATATATATATATATATATATATGAGTAATGATATTTCCACTTATCAATTTGATTCTTCCACTTAATATAAATTTGTATTTACATTTTTACCCTTATTTAAATTCTACAAAATTATGATGAATTATATATAGGGGTTTATACGATTGGCCTCTTACCATAATAAATTTAAACATCCCATCCCTTATTTATCACTTACACAAATTAATTAATTTATGTTTTTCTCTTTATTTATTTCTTACAAAAAAAATCAGTTTGTTTTCTTATTTATTCATCAAACAAACTCACCTAAGTATTCCATCTTACTCGATCAATCCTTTAAACTTTTCCATTCGAATATAAAATCTAACAAAAAATAAATTTTCTTTATTTATTAATCAAACAAACCCACTAATTTATTTTCTTAAACATGAGTTTTATTTTTCTTTTTTATCATTTAATTATAAATCTAACAAATGTTAATTTTTTTTCTTATTTATCTATACCTATCACAATAATATATAGTGAAAAATAATTCATTCCATACCAATGCATATCACAACACAATATTTAAATTAATACATATCAAATAAAAATATTTATATTACCCACTAAAATGTTGTCTAACAAAAATTTATAAATCACAATAAAAAAATTTTAAAAAAAATAAAAAATAAGAAGTTGAGGATAAAAAACATTCACCGTACTCCAATTACATACTATCACTTATAAAAAATAAATATATATTTAAATCAAATAAGTTGTTTTTAGATACTTTATAGCTCATTTAAAAGACACAAGTAAACGAAGTATTACTAAACTTTTGACTAAATCTGATATGTTCTTTGAACAAATGATTCGTTAGACAACGGATATATCTCCTGAATTAAAAAAGAAAAATGAAATAAATTTTACTTTACGAAACCCTTGAAGATTTGAGTTTGTGGAATCACCATAAACACATAATCTTTCATTTACTCTATCTTTCCAAAAGAATAATAAAATGTTTAAGAGAAACTTATTTGATTTAAATGCATATCCAACTGATAATATATAATTGATGTAGGGTGAATATTTTTTTATAGTCATACTTTTTTTTAACATTATAATGATTTAACTATTTTCGTTGGTAACAATTTACTATGATTTAATATGTATTAATTTGAACATATTATTGTTGTGATATACATAACTTTGAAATAAAAAAAATTTCCATTACATAATATATATTATTTAGTGGAGGAACAAAGAGATAAATTATTGAAATTTCAAGTGGATTAGTCTAAATAAGAGACATCACTTATTATTTAGTGGGTTAGTTTGATAAATAAATAAGAAAACAAAGTATTTTTTGCAAGGAATAAACGTGGAGAAAAAACAAAAATTAATTAATTTGTAAGTAAATAAGGGGGAAAAAGAAAGGGAAATTTAAAAATAAAAAAAAATAAAAAAAATAAAAAAAACTAATTTTTGTAAGGAAAGGTTTAAATTTGGTATGGATATGAGGCAAACATATAAACCCTCATTTATATCTCTTCTTTTTTTTGTAAATTTTAATTGAGGGTAAAAATGTAAAAACAATTTTAATTTAAGTGGAAGCATCAAATTAACAAGTGTAAATATCACCTCCATATATATATATATATATATATATATATATATATATATATATATATATATATATATATATATATATATATATATATATATATATATATAGAGAGAGAGAGAGAGAGGGTTCAATTGAGAAAAAAAAAGTTGAGAATGGGGGAATCATTCTCAGCCACTGATTTATTTTTGCCGTAAAAGCCTCCGTCGTACCAGCAGAAATGGGAAACGAATAGACATGTGTTTTCGAACAAAACATGTTTCCTTAAATTATGTTAATCATTACCTTAATCTATACAAAAACATAGTTTTTTCGATTTTTTTAATTTTTAAGAAACTATTTTTATCGAAAAATGGTTTTAAATATACCAAAATTCATGATTTTTTATTCTCTACAAATAGACATCCATATTGATATAGTTTTAAGATTATATATATATATATATATATATATATATATATATATATATATATGTGTGTGTGTGTGTGTGTGTGTGTGTGTGTGTTCAGCTATCGTTATTCATAAGTGAATAAAAATGAATCAGATTTTTACTACAGTACATTCGTTATTCAGTTATGAATAAAAACTATGATTATTTTTTTTTATACAGTTTAAGTATCATTACTATATGAATATAGCATATAATAAACATAGTATATTCATATTTAAATATTAGACGATGCATTCACTTATGAATATTACATAGTATATTCACTTGTGAATATTAGATGGTATATTCACTTATGAATATTAGATAATATTTTCATATCTGAATATTACATAGTATTACATGGTATATCACATGTGAATATTATATAGTATATTTATTTGTGAATATTAGATGATATATCCACTTATCAATATTACACAGTATATTCACATATGAATATTACACAGTATATTCACATATAAATATTACAAGGTATTTTCACAAATATATATAATTTTTATATGTTATTCACATATGAATAACATACAGATTTGCATATTTGGTTTTTTGTTTTAATAATCATATACTGAGAAAACATATTCATATATGAATATAACGTGCTAATTTAGTTCATGCATTTCATCAAACAGTTGGAGTGCATACAATTTAACTTTTTTTTAAAATGTTAGAAACATGATATTTTGACTATTTAAATCTACAAAAGAGTAGATTGATAGAGAATTATATGAAATTTTTCAAAAAAAAACGATTTGATATTTTTCTAACCTCAATTTTCAAGTTTTTATTTGATAATCGATGTTGAATGAATGATATGAAGTGAATTTTTGTTGATTATCGATGATGTTGATCTAATAACGTTGGGAGTATAATTAATCATAGATATTGAAGATATGATCGTATTCAAGCACAATTAAAGGTTGAATTAAAAGAACCAAAAACGAATTTTTGTTGTTAACTGTTGAATCGTGTTGATTATTAACGAAGATCGATGATTGATTAGCACTGGATGATGTTGATTATGGTTTAATTGAAGAAATCTGGATGATTGTTGAAAGTTGGAGAAGAAATTTGAATGATGAACGATGAATGGGTTCAAACTACAAATACGTATTTGAGATTGAAGGTTATTCTCATATTTACAAATTTGTCACCGTGTTTTTTTATGCTTGAATAAAATGAACGGCTGAGAATGATTCTCTCATTCTCAACCTTTTTTATTTTCTTAATTGAACCTATATATATATATATATATATATATATATATATATATATATATATATATATATATATATATATATATATATATATATATATATATATATATATATATATCATCTTATATTTGTTTGAAGCATCCAAGAAGAGACGGAAATATACAACAAATATCAAAATTTAGTGAGAATACTAAAATAGATGTAATAGTGGCAACATTTATCCTTCATAATTATTTTTGAAAAATGAAACTGAAAAATATGATTTTCAGTATTGTTAATGGACACGGTGATTACATTCCTACAAATAAATTGTCATTCAATAAATAACTGCATATGCTTCAAGATGTTCATAATAATATTGTAAATATCATATGGGATTTAAAAATTTTCACAGGTTTAAAAAAAATGAAAGAACGGAAAATAATAAAACCAAGGGTATTATAGTCATTTTAATTTTCGGAATGATCAAATACGCAACAAAACTAGCTCAAAAAACCACGAATCCAAAAAAGTTATGGTTTTGACCAAAACCCAGAAAAAATGAATACCACAGGAACCATTTTTGCAGTTGCCCTTTATTTTTCGAAAGCAAATGCAAGGGTAGAGAGAGCATAGGGAGGGATTGATCACGGTTTGATTCAATTCGCGATACCGCCACTAACCCACACGCTAATCATGTGGACCCCATCCACCCTTAGGCATCAGTCTAATTCGAATATTAAAGCACACAATACAAAAACACCATAGATACTAAGATAAGCTACCAAATAAAAAAAATTGTCCAAAAAACAATTGACCACAATTCACCTACAATCCCCATAACTTAGCACATCCTTTACATATTCCAAAAAGATCTAACTTTCTTGTACACTTTGATCTACTTCCGCAACACCCTTAGATCCCAACCCTCGGATCTTCACATCATAATAAACCTCCTCAACTTTCCGCAAATCATACTTCATTCCTGCAAAATAAGATTAAATAAACAGTTAATAACTTAACTTTAACTGCCAATCTGCAATGCCAGGGGCAATGTGGGGATAATGGAAAAATGAAAACATACCATCGAACTTTTTTCGCAAAAAGTCATTTCTGAGATTAAGCATGCGAAATGAAGCATGAAGATCAGTTAAAAACTTTAACACCTTTCTAGGGCAATCATAATCCCCTGCTGTCACTTGATTCACCACATACCTAGGCTGCAAAAAAAATAACTACTTGATTATATTTGTTTAAAAAAAAAACACAGCAAAATATAGTAAGAAAGGATTCTTAATTTCTTACCAATTCATTTGACATAAAGCAAATTCCTGTAATAAGAAATTACATTACTAAAACTGCAACAGATTTGAACATGAATCAATATTATTTATATAGAACAATAACATCACTCACTCACCAGTAAGGTAGTCTTCAACATCAAGGCAAAACTCTGAATTCACTGCATTACCCATCAAAAGTAATTGCATTAAGTTTATTAACACTTTAATGTAAGGTGTTTTATAGATTTGCCAATGATTGTTTAAAAGAAAGACTCACGCTCTAGTTTTTGCTCCATTTCTGTATGGATTAGAAGGCTTCCTGTTTCTAGCCAATGTGTAAAAGCAAGGAGAGAGACTACTTGTTGTGTCTCACTTCGCCAATCACCATGATATCTGTTAGTGAACATTATCAACAAGAAGAAATGATAGTAAGTGGTTATGCAAATTAATAACTGAGATTTGGTTTAAATTGTTGAAAATCACCTGTAGTATTGGCCAGGGCTTTCACCAACAATTTCTGCAAGCTTACTGAAAAGCTGCTTCAATTTGTCAACATGAGAGTTAACCTTCTCTAGAACCTCTGATTGTAAGAAAGAAAGGGAAAGAATAACCACACGTTATATCGATACTATTTCTAGCAGTATTCCCAAATCGATCATGTATTAACATCAACCGGTTGCTTTCAAACAAAATTGCAATGGCAGCCAAATAGCCCTTAAATCCATCTCCTTTTACACATTACAACATCAGTTGGTCCATTTCATGATCGCATTAACCGATTATTTACAGAAAGTTTGCAATGCATCTAATGACATGTTTCTCCCTAAATCGATCCTGTTTTGAAGATATTAAAAATCACTTAGTTCAATGTATCATCACATTAACATGTTTTCCCTCTCCCTCTCTCTCTCTCTCTCTCTCTCTCAGAGTAAACGAGAACGAGACACGATATGAACATCACATACGTTAGCCGAAGCGGAAGAGTGTTTATAATTGTAGAAAATGAAAATCAATACCAGGAATGGGCCGAGATTGATGAACAAGAAGAAGAATAGAGTGCATGATCCGAGTAGTCGAATCAATCTCAGTCGCAACAGCTTTGATGCGGTCACGTAAGTTACCAGATTCTTCTAGACTGAAACGAAACGTATCAAACTGCTTCTCGACAGCAGCGGAAGTAGGGGAGGAGTCACCGGCTGCCATTGAAGTGCAGAAATGGTTGCAGGTAGGTGGCCGCCACGTGACAGTGGTGGTGCAGTAGATCAGTGGAAGAGAAACAGTGGCGGAGGCGTTGCGAAGGAAGAAAGGGGTGCTGGGGTTAGGGTTTAAGGAGCGGTGGGATAGAGCGGTGGCTAATATTAATGCGGTCCGGGAGGCAGACTTCATCATGATTGTTTAATGGTGTTTTGTGCGTGGCCTAATAATTGTTGCTTTTTACTCTATACTACGCAGTAGATATTTGCACATAGTGCTTTATATGTGTAACAAAACAAATTAGCCCATTTGTATTCTCAAGACAAAATCTTTTGAATAACAAAAAAAAAAAAAAAAAAAAAAAAAAAAAAAAAAAAAAGACCTCATTTATTTCTACCCCACTCCCACTTCTTCTTACCCTCTAATCATTTTTCTAATAATTGTTTTTACTAATTAGTTTAATGATTAAATATTTTTACTAATCATCATTAGTTTAATAATTAATTTATGATTAATAGTTTTTTTAATTCACAAATAAATCTATTTATTATAATATTATTTAGTTTATTATAGATAACTTATTAACACTATTTTTAATATAAAAAATATATAAATAATTTTATTTGATTAAAAAAATACGACACAACAATAACTAATTAATATTTCGCATAATAAATAATAAAAAAAAATTAAAAATTAATGTTTTTTACAATTTATTTTAAAATTAAAGTTTATATTTTAGAAAAAAGTATAGAAAAAAAACATGCATATGATTATATGATTATGAATAAAATGGTTAACGAGATATGAAAGAAAAAGGAATTGAGCAAACAAAAAACAAGTTAATAGTATTTAATAAGATTGTTACGAGGATATTTACATATAATATGAAATTTAAAAAATGTAAGTGTGAGGTTATAAAATGTAATATAATAAAACTAGATAGCCTGTTCAACGATTCCATCAAAGTTTCGTAGCAAGCTTCAGGCGATTTCGTCGACCTTCAGGCGATTTCATCGATCCTTAGGCGACCTTCACTCGATTTTTGTTGCTAACAGTGTCATGGTTTCACTCTCATTCTCTTTTTCTCTGACGGTAATGGCTTCACGTGATTTCCGGCGAGCTCCACTCTCTCTCTCTCTCTCTCTCTCTCTCTCACACACACACACACACTGTTTTGTTTCTGGCGACGCTGCTAGCCTGCCCAATGCTCGTTCTTATTCTCTAATTTTGTTTCAAATGACCTTCTCTTTCTCTCTCTCTCTCTCTCTCACACACACACACACACTATCTTGAATCCGATGGTGGTTAGTGGTGACGAGCGAACAAATTTATTTCATAAAGTATGGAGATTGTAACCTGAATTTATAATTTGTTTTTGAAAACTAAAAATATATTACAAAAATTTAATTCATCATTAGACAAAAACAAGAGGCCGTGAAAAGTCACACCCTCGAACGTTTTCTTTTAATACTTTTATAAAGTTAAAGGGTATATTTTAAAATGTCCTCAAAATAGGTGGGTTTCAAATGTAAATTTGTAGAATATAAAATAACTTACTTCTCTTTCTGCCCTACCAAAAGTGAATGCAGCCGTCCAATAGTGGTGCAACGCGGGAGAGCAGATTCCGTCGTCTAGAAGAGATTTTTGAAGTTTATGTAATCTTTTTAAAAAACACCAAAAATTAATTGTACAAATTTTTGAAGTTTATGTAATCTATTAAAAAAATACCAAAAATTAATTGTACAAATTTTTAAAGCTTATGTAATCTATTAAAAAAAACATCAAAAATTAATTGTATAAGTTTTTAAAGTTTATGTAATTTAAGTGTAAACAACGTATATGCATAAATGAAAAGCAGAGGTTATTTTGTAAACATTATATTTGTAAATTTAAGGAAAAAAAATGACGATTCTTTTGTTAAAATAAATAAATATATATGCAGAATCTTTATATATATATATAAAGGGTAAACAATGACATTTTTTAAAAATAAAGAGGTTATTAATGTAAATTTATAAGGTATAAATTCCTTACTTTGTGGTAACTCTAGCTTTAAAAACGCAGCCGCCAAGAGTGAAAGAGAGCAACGATTTCTTGCGGCCAATGATTTCCGGCGATTAGCTTTTTCCGGCGGACCTCATGAGATTTCCGTCGACCTTCACCTTCAAGCGAGCATCACGTGTTTTCCGGCAACAGTTCGGTTCAGTTCATGAGTTTTCCGGCAACACTTCTGTCGACTACACACATTTCCGGCGATAAATGTTGCAAAACTGGTGGTTGTCAATGCGTCTCAGACGTTTCAGGCGTTATTTCTCCGACGTTTCACTTGAATTTAGCAAGTTTTCCCGTGATGTTTCCCTCTCCTTCAGTCGAGATTAACGTGTTTTCAGTTGATTTTAACACGTTTTCCGGCGACGCTTCCAACGTTCCGGACTATCTATTTCCCGTTCCTCACTTCTCAGTGGCTATTTTTTTTCGTGTCTCTCTTCTTCGACAAAGATGGCACCGGCACTGTTAGTGTTGGCAATATATTGCCGGCCGCCGGCGGTTGTTGAAGATATGGTTCCGGGATGGCTTTAGATTAATAGATTTTTTAATATTTGTTAACATTTTAGTTAATCTTACTTATTTTATTTGTTTATATACTAAGTATTGTAGTTTATTGTGTGATTAAGTGGATTGACAATGCGTTTGTTTTTTACAATGTAATTGTTGGTTCCAGTATTGATATTGTATTGTTTTTAGAAGTGAAACTTATTTTTTCAAAAAAAACACAGTCTTCTATGAAAAAAAAACTGAAAAGATTGATGCTATCAAGAACACTACTTTTCACGTATATATTAATTGGCTAATAATTCTGAAATTTTCAAAAACTGGAATAAACAAAAGTCAACTACCTAAAAAATAATAATTAAAGAGGTATGATTACTGAAAGTAGGGTAAGAATAACAATACCAAAAAAAAAAAAAAAAGTGAAACTTAATATCTAAATGATCAATTTATGATTGTACCATCTAACAAATGTTTGCTAATTTGTATGTAATAATTCTTGTTATGTACGATAATTTATGTTTTAGAAAGGTTATACAAATCATGTTATTATTATATACGACAAAAAAAGTATTGTGTATAAAAATCATGCTATTATTATGTATGACAAAAATAAATACATGGTGTATGAATGAGCTCATACTTTAATAAAGTATCATCTTTTTCCACAAATTACAAAATTGACCATTATGTTTGCAAGATTTCAAGAAAATAAAAAATCATAATAGCTCTCCACAACACACAAACAAAATATTTTAATATATATATATATATATATATATATATATATATATATATACAAAATATATTTTAAAATTGTGTAATCGTGTAATTGTGAAGTTTTAAAATTGCTATGCAATTGTGAAATGGTTCTTACATTTTAGAAATGATTGCTCTTTGTAATAAAATGTTTGAATAAATTATTAAAATCGTACATTTGGTTTACTAAAATTACGTGTTTAGTCTCTAACTTTTTTTTTTTTTTTTGCACTCACACCATCCATGCATTTCATTGCATTTTTCGTCCTTAAAACATGTAAAAAGACTATCTTACTCTTGTTTATTTTTTTAATTTAATAATTTATAACCTAATTAAAAAGATATTTAATAAAAAATATGGTCCCACCTACATCATCTTTTCCCCCTAAACCTACACTCACCCTCACCCGTAGTTCTCTTGATCGTCCCTCTCCTTCCTCTCGCAGGAAACCCCTACACACAAAACTCCAACGACATCCAATGCCTTTCCACTTGCCACCATCACATTCGTTCATGGAGCCGGACGACGAAGGTGCTCTACCTCCATCTGATTCAACTCAGTGGTGGCAAGTCTAAATGTCCAATGATGTTACCCTTGCTGTCGTATTGCGACATGCCCAATCACCGCCTCCTCTATCGACATTCACCTCATGCGACTACCATGTGTGTACTAGTTCGTAACAGACCTACACAATGAACTTCCTCTAATCTAGAACTCACATGTTCTCTCTACAACTCACGTCTCCTACAGTTGGCTAACCCAATCTCCTCGTTGGGACGGTGACATGTGTTTTATCATCTATCTTCTACTTCCTCTAATACTCCAATTTCTTTTTTTGTGTGCGATCCTAACCACCGACTCACTCCTCGGCATATCCCCCCCCCCCCCCTCTCTCTGTCATTATCAACATATTAGGTATAGATTGGGGGGTTTTGTTGATTTATTTTTGGTTTTGGGGTTTGTTTTGGTTTTTAAAATCAAAATACTAACTCAATTGGTGTGATGGTGAATAGTGGTTGAATGTGGTTTTGATTTCAATTTATTAAGATAGTGAGGGAACCAAATTTGCAAATCGATGTTTTATTCTATTGTGGTTGTATAGCCCTAACTTTTGATCTTTTTGTCTTCTTTACCTAGTCTTTAATTGTGATTTATAGGTCTAATTACATGGAAGATAGACGCCAATGGAGGGTCATCGGAGAAGACCACCGACGTTGAATGGTAGGGAGTGAGATGGGAGGGTGACCGATAATGGAAGTGAGAATGGGATTTGAGTGGGTCCCACTTGTGAATACAATTAATTCATTTTCTATAAATAAAAAAAATAAAAATAAAAGAATAATAATAATAATAAAACTGGAAAAAATATATATATAAAAAGCAATATAGTTTTTAAGTCTGTGAGGGATGAAACATACAACAAAATCTAAACCTATGGACCGTCCAAGTGTAAAAAGTATTAGGGCTTAAACACGCAATTTTAGCAAATCAAATGGACGGTTTCATTAATTTATTCAAAAATGTTTTAATACCTTTTAAGGTATTTTGTGTATCTTTTGTTGTGGGTTAGTTTCATAATTTGTAACTTGACTAATTACAAAAATTATGATAATTTTTACAATTAGTAAAAAAATTATAAAATAGTTATTTTTGTTAATCAGTTTGCGGGAAAATAACCAAAAAAAAAAAAAACCAAGATTACAAAAGTAGTCATTAAAACCGCAGATGGATTAGGTTCATCTGCGATTTGACCTTCTGACCTACGAATGTACAAGATTTTAAAGCATGGACGTGCATTAAGGTTGTACATTCACAGATAGAAATTGTCCATCTGTGAACATTGACGTATCCCCATATAAATACCTTTTTTAACACTCATTTTTAAGTTTTTTTTTTGGGGGAAACTCTCTCTACATGAGTTATGAACATACATATTCTAGATTTTTCTCTACAAACTCTCATCTTCCATCAGTCACAATGCAGACAAACAAAATATTCACTCATTTTATTACAGAGGTTTTAAACAAATATATCAAAGAAATAACTGTTAAAGTTATAATTTTTTTACAAATTTATATATATAATTTGGTAATTTCGTAGTAAAACCAATCATTTTTGTACCAAAAAAAATTAACCGACAAATCACAGATGGACTGCAGAGTACATCGCATATTAACTGCAGTTCATCTACGAACATAGGTGAAAATTGGTTTTTATACCCAAAAGAAACTCATAATCCGTGAACTTACAACCCTAAATGCACGTTTCACGCTTTAAAAGCTTGTACATTTGCGGGTCACATGAATCTAATCCATCTGCCATTTTAAGGGTTATTTTTGTAATCTTGATTTTTTTGGCCATCTTCTATAAAATGATTAGCAAAAGTGGGTATTTTTATAATTTTCTCAAAAATGATTATTTTGTTAAGTAGTACGTTAAAAAGTTACGCATTGGATATCTTTTATTTAAACTGACTAAAATAACAATTAGGAAAAAAAAAACTAATAATAATCATAATAATAGTAAATAAAACTATAAAAGGAAATAAATAAATAAATAAATAAAATCATACTATATTTTACATCAATTAAATTGAAGTTTCAAAGTTAAGGGCCACCTTTGAAGGAAAGGAAGAGTTTAAGGGTCGACATTTAAAAAGCTGATAACAGACTAATCATACCCTTGAAAGTTGAAACCGGATCAAACGAACCCGGCGTGATTTTGCCGCCACCGCAAAGCCTGGGCATCGCCAATTCTCGTCCCCGACGAATGGAAACATCTGCACCATCTTCCTCAAAGCCGCGTCAATCACCTTTTCGTTACTTCTACTGTAACTGCTTCAAACGTTGTTGTCGCTGTTTCTGCTGTTTCTACTCTTACCCTTAAGGTTGTAACCTTAAACACTAACTCTTCTACATGCTAATTTTTAGATAAATCTCCGCCACTTTAAACCCTAACATCTGAATTAACCAATTGTCCAAACTTCTAGTTGGTTTTACCTCTATGTAGATTGGATTAGATGTTCTTAGTTTCAAATTTTTGTTTCATATAACCTGTGATGTGATACAATTACATTAATTCTGCTTCTCTACAGCTTTAAATCAGCTTGTGGGTTCTATTTATTGTGCAAGCAGAAGCAATTCAATGATTGAAGCTGAAGAGGGTACCTTTTCTTCTATTACTTGATCATGTAATATAGTAAATGGTAGAAAAAGATGGGTAATGTTTTATAAAAATTAGCTTGATAAGCCAGATGACAAATCAGAATTGAATTCTATAATATTTTTATACACTTAAATCATGAAGTCTGTAAAAATATATACTTTTATATACTTAAATCATATGAAGTTATTTATTTCGTAACAACAAGAATATTCAGACAGTAGTTTACATTATCAAAATTCATGTCTCTTGTAAAGCTGGACAACTTGCTGTTGAAAATTGAAAGTTGATTACAAAGAGAAAAACCCAACAAGAAACCAAAGGATTCCAACTAAGATTTCAAGTCAAGCAAAGCTGTTAACCGCTTCCTTTGTAATTAATTTCTTTCATTAATTAATTATTTTCCACGTCATTTTCAACACCACGTGAAATCCAATTTTATCCAATATTACTGTAAAACCTTTTTTTTTAAGATGATAATGCATAAGAATAGTATCACATTGATACAAGATAATTTTCAAAATTTAACATTACATACTTCAAGTCTTCAACAATATATATAACAACATTATTTTTAATCATCCTTTTATTTCTTTGAATAAATCAAAATTTACAACCTATTCATCTATTGTCTAAAAAACCTTTTATCTTATTTCAAAAAAGTTCCAACCGAAAAAGATAAAATATTCATATATTGTCTAAAAGATCCAATTAACACTCAAATATTCTTTTCTGAAAGATCCAAAAAACCAAATGGAAAAAGATAAAATATTCATCTGTTTTGCATTGTATCGTACGTTGTTAAACAAGTCATTATAAGTTGTAATTATATTAATTTGTGACAATGCTAAAGAAGGTTCATTGGTTGACACGTTAAAATAAGGTATCACTTTCCTTCCATGTCTTTCACAACTATACATTCTTCAACACACACAATTGTCCTCCCCAATCTCAACTCCCACCACCATCCTCCGTTCACCACCACCCTGCAACCACCATGTGTTACATAGCAAGATTTTACCAACTTCTCATAATTCAACTCATGCTTACCATGTTCATGTTTGTTAAGTCAGACACAATAACACGAGAATTCTACGATGAGGAGAGGAATTCACTGATCCCATTCCGAGACTCTATGAAGTCCAGTTTCAATTTACATGGAAACTGGACTGGTCCGCCGTGTCGGACCAATATGAGCAGGTGGATGGGAATCGGGTGTACCAATTCCCATATAACCCACCTGACTCTGGAATCGATAAATTTATCGGGATCACTCCCGGTTGCATTCCTACAAAACATTACCTTCTTATCAGAACTCAACTTAAACAACAATTCCATTTCCGGAGACCTTCCAACCCTCACCAATCTTATGAATCTGGAATCCGTATTCCTTTCCGGTAATCGTTTTTCCGGTCCCATTCCATCGGACTACCTCGACCTCCCGAAGCTCACTACACTCGAGCTTCAGCAGAACGAAATCACAGGCACAATTCCACCTTTCAATCAGGAATCATTAACTTCTCTCAATTTTTCATACAATAAGCTTTCTGGACAAATCCCGGAAACAAAAATCCTACAAAGATTTGGAATCAGTTCATTCGATCACAACATAGGGTTATGTGGAAAGCCTCTGGAAACACCATGCCCTTTTTCTCCACCTCCAAAAGACAAGAAGAAAACTCTTGAAATATGGAGTATTGTTTTGATTGCAGCTGCAGCAGCAATTGTTCCGTTTTTTGTGATTTTGCTTTTGTTTTGTTGCTACAAAAGATTTCAAGAAAAAGCAGCTAAGAAACAGGAGGCCATTGGTACGTAATAAGTTAAATACATAGTGCATGCCATGTGTTCGATGAAATTCCTGTAAAGCTGATTAATCTTATACATATAGAGGAAAATCCTAATGAAGGTGTCGCTAAAGCTCAATGGTCGCGAAGCACGGATGATCCTGAAAAAACAAAAGATTTGGAGTTTTTTGACAAACATAAGCCGGTTTTTGACTTGGATGATTTGCTGAGGTCATCAGCTGAAGTAATCGGGAATGGAAAACTAGGCACCACCTACAAGGCGACATTGGAATCGGGTATGGTTGTTGCTGTAAAAAGAATGAAAGAAATGAATTCCTTGAGCAAAAAGGAATTCATACAACAAATGCAATTACTCGGAAAGTTAAAGCATCAAAACCTAGTTGAGATTGTTTCCTTTTACTACTCCAAAGAAGAAAAGCTAATCATTCACGAATTCATCCAAAATGGAAGCCTATTCGAGTTATTACATGGTTCGTATCTATCTGTCTGTGTATCTATCTGTCTATATAACTTTATCTGATAGTTGTTGAAATGCGTAGAGAATCGAGGGTTTGCGAGAGTACCACTTGAATGGACAACAAGGGTAGAAATCATGATGGATGTTGCAAAGGGTTTAATTTTCTTGGAACAATCTCTATCTTCACACAAGGTGGCTCATGGAAACCTAAAATCGTCAAATGTACTTATCAACTTTACAGAAGAAACCGAAAGCGTACAAGCCAAGCTCACGGATTATGGCTACTTTCCACTTTTACCCTCGCGAAGATCATCAGAGAAACTTGCAATCGGGAAGTGTCCCGAGTTTGTGGAAGGGAAGAAAATGACAAACAAAGCTGATGTTTATTGTTTTGGGGTTTTGCTGTTGGAGGTGATTACAGGGAAAGTACCAGAGGATAATGATAATAATAGCCATGAGGATCTTTTAGATTGGGTTAGAGGTGTTTTGAATAGTGACTGGTCAATGGACATATTTGACTTGGAAATATTAGGAGAAAAAGAAAGGCATGAAGATATGTTGAAGATTGCTGAGTTAGCACTTGATTGTACTCACATTTCACCTGAAAGACGACCTAAAATGACCCAAATTTTAATCAGATTACAAGAAATCCATCAACCCCAACTCGTCAATATAGAGGTTAACTCATAAAATGGGTTGCACTCTTGGTATGATATTCGTTTCAATCATGTATCTATTTTTTTTTTTTTTTAAAATGTGAAAAGAAGGATTGTACAAATTACAAAGGTTTTTTTCGGCTATCTCTGTCTAGTAAGCAAACAAGTGAAAGCTATAATGCGTGTACCTAAACCAGTAGCAATAAGTAAACATAAACATTTGTTCGAGTTATGAATATCATAATCATAATGCTTCAATGCAGCACATCGCGTCATCAACCACACGCCATTATACCTGAAAATTTACATTTTAATTTATGCATTTAGTGTTAAAATATTATTGTCTCATAAGGTAATTAATATCTAGAGAACAATAGAACATACTCTTTTGCATTTGCAATAATAAAAGCTTCCAAAGCCCATTTTGGAAACACAAATGGTGTTATAACCGAAACAGCAGAATTTTTGCTCTGATTCGCGATTAGGGTTAGAACAACAGGAAGAAGCACAGACCACTGTAGAGAGAAGAATATTATTTATTAAATTATTATTATTATTATTATTATTATTATTTTGATAAAAGTGGTGTTGATAAATGTTACATACCAATTGGGCTTGACTAAACTGGAGGGAGATGGCGAGTGTGTAGGCTATGCCGGTTACACAATAAACAAGGCAGACCAAAACTATATAATTTGACCCGAAGCTGGATCTTGGATAGTTAAAGAAATAGAATAAACAAAGATAAACTAAAGGCTTCATCACTGTATTTATATGGTCCATTGTATCTTTTGAGAGAAAATACGATAAACTGTTCATCCCACTAGAGCTTTCCCTTTTATACTGTAGTTTATCCAGTGAAAACGTTCTCAAAGCTCCAATCATGCATAACAGTGCTACAAATTAAAGATTAATCCAAATTAAAAGTTTGTTAATTTCAATTCAAATTCAAATTCGTTTTTTGTTTTTCACCACTTACATACAGCAATGACTGTGTACTGATAACCAGTAGCACCGAATGTGTCGTCTGTCACTTTCGCCATTGTTCCTAAGCATGTTCCCGCCAGCAAAAGAATCAGATAATCTGCAGCTTGTACTCTTCCCTCACGTAATCGTTGCCGGAAAACCCTAAATTTCATACGCACAAGTTAAAAAGTGAACGGAAAAATATTATAAATTAACTAATCACTCACCTTTCGAGGTAATACTTATACTGCGTTAAAACTCCGGGAGTTACTCTGCCGGATAAATCTGGAGTTCTGAAGAAATTATACGTTGGAACATCTCGCTGAATTTCACTGGTTTTGGCTTCGGGATTTGAAGGTGGAGGTGAAGAAGAAGAACTTTGATCGCAGAGATGTAACATATCAGGGGGTACTCTGTATCCGTTATGAAGCATCCATCTTACCGGAAGTTGCTGAGCTGTCACGCCGCCGTTTGGCTTTATCATACCTTCGAGAATATCGATTAAATAATCTGGTGTATTTACACGCTCCGGTATCGTAATCCCTAACCCTGCGAAATACTCTTCCACCTTTTTCACAGGTCCATGGTAGACTGTAATTCCGCCTTTCGCCAGAAGTATCAAGTCGTCAAACATCTTGTACAACGAGTAACTGAAGAATTAAAAGAAATTAAAACCCGGTGAGTTTTTTGCCGGAAATGCGAGATGGAGAATTTTCCGGCGACCTTACTTACTTACCTTGGTTGGTGAACGACCATGCTGATGTTAACACCTTCAAGAGCTTCACGACGAAGAGCCCTAAGAAGCAAACTGGAAGATGAACTATCGAGACCTGACGTCGGTTCGTCTAATATCAACAACGAGGGTTCCATCACCATTTCCAATCCGACGTTTACTCGTTTCTTTTGTCCTCCGGAAATCCCTCTCTTTTCCACTGTTCCAACTGTGGAATTGCGTATTCCCTGGAGTCCTAATGACTCGATTACTCTTTCGATTATAAGAACTTTATCGTGTTTTGGCAAGTCAGCGGATAGTCTTTAAAAATTCAAGAAAAAA